AAATCTGGTCTAGGTTTAGTCTAGTTTAGATTTGATCTGAAATTAAACCAGATTTAGACTTTAAATTTTACTAGTTTTAAACTCAAACCAGACTTAAACTTAATTATAAATCTAGTTCAAAGTTTATCTTTTTTTTTTTTAAGTATTAAGGTAAGGCCTTGCTTATATTTTTATTGATTAATTTATATATGTAGTTATATAGAAACTATATAAAAACTTAATTTGTACAAAGACAAATAAATATCTAATATATTAAAATACAAACGTGTGTAACAGTTGCTTTTTTCCGGATCTGTCCGAATAGCGAAAATATCACGGAACGCGTAACAAACATGTTCTAAATGACGAACATCACAGAACGCATAACACGTATCTGGTATGTACATACGTACATACCTGATACCGTTACATATGTATGTACTTGCTTTATCTTACACGCTAACTATTGTATCTATGTACTTACATACATGTCTGATATTTTGCATGACAAATTACACAAGTTTTTATTTCTATAATCTACTAGGTATCTTTGAGACTAAGCACTATAACGTATTATTTAAATCACAACTGTCCGTTTATTGGCTTTTTTGTAGTATGATAATAAATTACTTTTTAATTAAAGTTTATCTATATTGCGAATCTTTTTATTTTACAGTATAGTATTACCGGTACATATTAGAGTTTGGAGCCTGTTATTTTTTATATATTAAACCCGATTAAAACCAGTTTTGCTATATGAAAATAAACCCGGTTCCAAACTCTAATTGCGAATAAATTGCTTTATAATTTAAAAAATATCCGATTTATTTATTTATTTTAATGCAATGAGTTTAATCTAATGCGTGCTTAATTTAAATTTTAATATTACATACTAGCTTCGCCGTCTGCTCAATAAAAAGTTCTAATTTTTTGGCATCTTAAAACATTAGTAAATCATATGTGTCTAATATAAAATTATTTAGTTATTCAGGATCTATTTTATCCTCTACCATCTACATAGTACATTATATTTAATTTAAACACTGAGTCTTTGATAAAGTTTTTTTTTAAAAAACTATTGCTGTCACGGTTCAAAAATATATTCATATGGGCGGATTGTGCTCATTTTGTGGTATCTAAATATGGGGTGCCAGTAGAAACCAAGCATTTTGTTTTTAGCGAGTTTTTTTTTAAATTTTACTATTAAACCAAACATGATAAATTTTTTTTATTTTAATTCTATATGGAATTAAAATAAATAAAAAAAATTTATCTATTTGGCTTAATAGTTGTTGAAATATTTTATTTTAAAGTTTTAAAATATTTACTTAGAAACAAGATGCTTGGTTTCTAATGGCACCCCCATATAATCCCGTTGCAATAAGGTAGTCTAATTGGATATGATTACAGGATTAAATAAGCTGAAATTAATATCATTACATCACTTCATATCAGCGGATTTGCGGAATGGATCTAAATTAGATCCCTAGATTAAAAACTGCAAAATGTATAATGACAATATTGGGGTCAGTTTTACAATCGCATTGTTAAGATATATGGACCTTAATTTAGGTCAATTCCGCAAATTCGCCGATATGTATTTTAATGTAATCAATTTTAATATCACGATCCGCCCATGTGTTATATGAGTGTCGACAAGCGAAAACAGGGAATTGAGAGTTTTCCGAAATTAATTTTACAGATCAAACCCCGAAAAATGTAATTTAACACACTATATAATTTATGTTGTGTTTAATTTAAATTTATCAAGAGTCGGATCAGAAAGCGGAGCCGGCAAAAATCGAAATTCCTGGTTTTCGCTTGTCGGCACTCATATCTTCTCAATACATTACGTAATAAAAAATTTAAATCAGCTTTAAATTGATTTGAATAAAAAATCAGTGATTTAAATCATATACTATCCCTATATTTTAATGACACCATGCTCAGCGCTTGCAGAACCCTATACAAGTTATATAAATTGGGTTTGTCAAAGAATAATCAACCTTAAAGGCTTTTGCACTGTACTTACTTGACAGTTTCATCTCATCATGGTTTTCAATTTTTATATGTACAAAAAAATATATCTTTTGAAATTGAAAATTCCGATCTTATATTTGATGAGATATGCCACGTGACTGATTTTTGACTCGATTTCGCGTCCAGTTTATTGAACTTACACTACTAGAACTTTACAAAATCATTTTTACTAGAACTTTACCAAACATTTATTCTAAGATAAAAAGAGACAGTTACTTATTTTAATACAAGAAATGACTCGAAGAAGGTCCAGACCAGAAACTCCACCTCATATTCGCCAAGATGTGCGATATAAAACACCTGAACTTGAGGAAACTCCTGAAGACCGAAGAAGGAGAAAATCCCGAAAGTTTAATGCTGCTAAAAATTTCTATAACGCTCTAAAAAACTCTAATGAAATTACAAATAACCCTATTGGAGGTTTGTTAGACTTTATTTTTGCTTTTATTAAATTTAGTTAATAGAGTAGGTAGCACAGAGAATTTTTTTGGCATGCTTTAAAGAGCACACTTCGGCCCAAGGCATGACTCTGATTATGTTCTAAGCATGCTTCTATATGAGTGCCGTCAAGGGAAAACCTGTCATCGGGCTTTCAATTATATTTTGTGTACAGTTAGCCGTCTATAGAAAATCTATTAATATATTAGATTTTCAATAGACGACTAACTGTACACAAAATATAATTGAAAGCCCGATGACAGGTTTTCCCTTGGCGGCACTCATATAATGCCTGCACCCGCTTATAACTTAAATAATTATCACGTGATTGCATTTCATAGCAATAATTCTTCTTTGTAATCATGTGACAAGTACTTTCTTTTGCCTCAAAGTTATGCCCATGCAAACCTGAAGAAATACCGATATGGCATGCCAAAAACCCCATGCCATCTACTCTATTAACAATTTATTAGCTTAAAATTTATTAGTTTCATCGATACTATATATTAATTATATATAACCTCACGTGATTTTTCTTATACAGTTATAGGAAATGAAGTTCACCCACTAGAAGCTGTCCACTTACCTATTCAAACCCAAAAACACCCCAGGACTAATCATAATCTTGCTCAGAGTACAATCGATAATTTCAAGCCAACAGTCATACGTGGGAAATATGTAGTTTATGGCAGACATATGCTTCCTAGAATGTCAATCTTCTGTGAACACTGTCGAGCTATGCGTTGGCCAATAGAGTCCCCAACCAACTGCTGTCGTAACGGAAAAGTTGTTTTAGCCCCACTAGGCTATGCACCCGAGTCAATTATAAAACTTCTTACACAAGATTCTCTTACAACAGAAGAACCTTATCTGAAGCAGATTCGTTCATTCAATTCTGTTTTTTCTTTCACATCAATGGGAGCATCAATTGACCCAGAACTTGCGAATGGAGCCCATGGCGTGTATACTTACCGTCTTCAGGGAGCAGTTTATCATCGAATTGGTTCGTTGCTTCCTGATGAAAATTGTATACCAAAGTTCTCACAAATATATATATATGATGGAAGCTTTGATACCGAATTGAGGCGCCGTCATACTGTGTTTCCTTTTTTAGATTATGATATTTTGGCAGACATTCAGCAAGACCTCCATATGCATAATCCTTTTGTTCAAGTTTTCCGAAGTGCTGGCCAATTTGTTCGTGAAGGTCAGCCAATTATGTTAAGACTCTTGAGTGGCCAAGGTTTTGATATAAGGCGTTATAACCGGCCTACTGCAGATGAAATAGCAGTTTTATTAATTGATAACAATGCCGACAGTGGTCGTGACATTCTCCTCCGCACTACTCAGGGCCAATTACAACGAATATCAGAATGTCATGCTGCATACGACCCACTTCAATATCCATTGTTATTTCCATATGGCCAGCTTGGTTGGCATCCCGGTATTCTTTATTCGACAAGTTCCAGCACAGAAAACCACCATAATCCTGTAAGTGATGCCCTTGAAAATGAAATTGACCTTACGGGTGGAAACTCAGATGAAGAATTGAGCCAGCCTCAACAGAAAAGTCAGAGAAGTCATGTTACAATGCGGGACTATGCTGCATACCGTTTACATGTACGTAGTCCCATTGATAGCATATTACATCATGCTGGGCGTCTTTTTCATCAATACATTGTTGACCAATATGCCAAGATTGAACAAAATCGGCTTCTCTGGCAAAGAATGAACCAGCAAACAATTCGTGCCGAGCTTTACCAAGGACTTGCTGATGCATTGGCAAATGACTTTCAAAATCTCAGCAATGTAGGGAGGCGTATCATTTTACCTGCATCTTTTACTGGCAGTTCTCGGTATATGAGTCAATGTTATCAGGATGCGATGGCGATCGTGAGAGAATTTGGGAAGCCGAGTCTATTTATTACAGTCACATGCAACCCACATTGGCCAGAGATTCATGCTGAACTTTATAATAACCAGACACCAAACGATCGGCCTGACATCATTGCTCGCGTTTTCCACCTCAAGCTAAAAGCTATTTTAACTGACCTCATTAAAAATAATATATTAGGAAAAGTTGTAGCGTTCGTGTTAGTTATAGAATTTCAGAAGAGGGGTCTTCCTCACGCACATATACTAATCATACTTGCCGAAGAAGATAAATTACAAACACCTTCCGATTATGATAATATTGTGTCCGCCGAAATTCCAGACCCAATTTCTCAACCACAACTTTATGAAACCATCACCCGGTGTATGATGCATGGGCCTTGCGGTAGTCTGGCGCCAAGTGCTCCATGCATGCATGATGAAATTTGTTCAAAAAAATATCCTAAGTGTTTTTCTAATGTTACCCAGAATGATAGGAATGGATATCCGTTATATAGACGACGAGACAACAAGCGCACTATTCAATTGAAAGGTTGTATGCTAGATAACAGGTATTTTAGTAAATTTACTTCTTTTTCTAGAGTACAGAGCACAGCTTTAGCTTAAAGGCATGCCCGCAGAATTTTTGGTGGGTTGATTTTATATATGCAAATTTTTTAGTTAAAAGGCATATACTAGACATGCCCTGCAGGCATGCCCAAAGCCTCCATGCTCTGTTCTCTATATTTTATACAAGGATGGACATCAATTAACATTAAATCAAAATAGATGGGTAGTACCGTACAACCCATATCTATGCCAAAAGTATGACTGTCACGTTAATGTAGAAATTTGTTCTACTATAACGTCAGTTAAGTACTTATACAAATACGTATATAAAGGGCATGACCGGGCCTTAGTCGTTGTTCATAATGGCAGTGCTGAAACTGTGACTCACGATGAAATCAAAGCATATCTAGATGCTCGATATGTTTCGGCCTCAGAAGCATGCTGGCGAATCTTTTCTTATGACCTACAAAAAAGGTCTCATCGTGTAGAAAGGTTACAAGTGCATCTACCAAACCAACAATTCGTTCTTTTTAATGCACACTCAAACCTAAATAATGTTGTATCCACGGCCATACACTCAAAACTCACAAAGTTTTTTGAGGTTTGTAGAGAAGATTCAACAGCTGCAAATCTCTTATACTCGGAATTTCCCAAGTTCTTTCGCTGGGTAAAAGGAGCCTGGATACGTCGAAAAAGAAGTGGAAGTAAAGTGATTGGTAGACTTTATTCTTGCTCTCCAATTGACTCAGAACGCTTTTGCTTGCGTCTCCTATTATGTCACATCCGTGGCCCTACATCATTCGAGAGTCTGCGCACAATTAATGGTATAACATATCTAACGTTCAAACAAGCAGCGCAGCAATTAGGTCTATTGGAAAGTGATGAAGAATGGCATAATTGTTTATATGAAGCAAGTCTATTTCGGATGCCTTCACAACTACGCCTCTTATTCGCGACAATATTAATTTATTGTCAACCATCAGATATTAAAAGTCTTTGGGATACCTACCTGCCTGACCTAGCAGAAGATTTTATATATCAAGCACGGCAGCGTGGTGAAAATACCGTACCAGAAGATCCATTAATTGTAAGTCGTGCTTTGGTTGAAATTGAAGACCACCTTAGACAGTGTGGAAAGTACCTTACGGACTTTCCTGAGTTACCTACCATACAGCATGATTTACTAAACATCGATAGGCAAACACAGCTTTTTGCAGAAGAATCGTCCTTTTCACGGGATGAGTTACAGAGAATTCTCGAGGGAGTTTCTCTGTTAAATGATGAACAACGTGCAGTGTATGATGCTGTAATTGAAGTTGCAGAGCAATCTAATCCTGAACACACCATTTTTTTTGTTGATGGCCCTGGTGGCACCGGAAAAACTTTTTTGTATACCATCCTTTTAGCTTACTTTCGCATCAGAAATTATATTGCACTAGCCCTTGCTTCATCAGGAATTGCATCACTGTTGCTTATGGGTGGTCGAACCGCACATTCCCGTTTAAAGATTCCTTTGTATCTAGATGAAACCTCAACATGCAATCTATCAAAACAATCTGACCACGCCCGTCTTTTACTAGAGTCAAAATTGATAGTTTGGGACGAAGCTCCTATGACTCATAAGTTTGCTTTCGAGGCTGTTGATAGATTGTTGCGTGACATTACTGGCATTGCCAAACCTTTTGGGGGAAAACTTATAGTGCTTGGAGGTGATTTTCGGCAAATATTGCCGGTTATTCTTCGCGGATCACAGCAGCAAATTGTTAATGCAAGTCTCAAACGTTCATATCTTTGGGATTCAATTCTGTCAATGTCACTTACAAAGAACATGCGCCTTCAGCAGATGCATGGGCCTGAAGCTGCTGAAAATCGTGAATTTGCCTATTATCTTATCCGAATTGGGGAGGGCAAGGAAACCACTTACCCTAACATTGGTCAAGATTATATTCGTTTACCTGACGATATGATGCTTCACGGCAATTTACAGGCACTAATAACTCACATCTATGGTGACCTTAAAACTAGGCAAAATGATCATCAATATATATTAGAACGCGCAATTCTCACAACTAAAAACCGGGGTGTTGATGAGATCAATGATCTGATTTTGTCAAACTTTTCCGGTGAAGAAAAAACATACTGTTCAGCTGACTCTGTTGTCGATCCTGAAGGTCTTAACAGTGAGCTCTATCTTCCTGAATTCCTTAATACACTTTCTCCCAATGGTGTACCACCTCACAAGTTAGTACTCAAAAAAGGTGTACCAGTAATATTACTTCGCAACCTAAATGCAAAAAAAGGTCTATGCAACGGAACACGCCTGATTATCCGTGCTTTTCAACGGCACTTCCTTGATGCAGAGATCATAACTGGCTCCTGCGCTGGACAACATGTTTTTATTCCACGCATAATTCTTGAACCATCCGATACAGAACTCCCATTCAAGTTGCGACGACGTCAATTTCCGGTCAAGTTAGCCTTTGCACTAACAATCAACAAAGCACAGGGTCAAACGATTTCAAAGCTTGGACTTTACCTTGCAGATCCTGTGTTTACTCATGGTCAGCTGTATGTTGCTCTTTCACGAGTTCGTTCTCGCCGAGATATTAAGATTGTTGCGGAAGGTAGTCAAATAGCGAACCAAGAGGGTTGTTACACAGCTAACATAGTTTTTCATGAGATTTTTGATTAGATTTGATCGTATTACAATCGATCGGCTGTTGGACAATTAATTAATTGGTAAGCCTGTTTGGTGCGACCCAAACCATATCTTATATCATACGTACGTACGTACCTGATACTGTGAAGTTAGGTTTAGCGTTGTATTATCATTTTTGTCAGTACAAATGCAATGTACAGTGAAACCTCTCTAAGTGCACCATCTATAAGTGCATACCCTCTCTAAATGCACAATCAGATTTTGGCCCAAATATATACATGACCTCCATAAACACAAGTTCTAAGTGCACGCCGGTCCCGAGTGCGTGCACTTAGAGAGGTTTTACTGTATTACAAATTTGCTCAAGGAAATCTTTTTGATCATGTTACGTTACACCTGATCTTGAAGCTGCGTCACAAACCTGGCATATCTGATATCGGTAATACTGTAATAGATATCAGATATGACATATTAGATATATGTTCAGGTAAAGTATAGACCTACTGCACCAAAAATGTTACTAAGCAGCCTGCATTGACCGGAAATCAGAGCACAAAATTGTGACATGACGTATCCTGATATTTTTCCAGTAATCTTTTTATTAAAATCTATAACTGGAGGTAGTATCAAGAAAATGTCAAATTCTTGAACAATGAAAAATTTCTGATTATTAAAAATTGTGCCAGAATTTTTCTTAATTTACTGGAATCCGGTATTTTACAGTAGATTTTGTGCTCTGCCGGAAATCAAAAAATGTATTAAATTACTGTATATGTATTGGAATGCCATTTTTCTTAACCGTCTTATATATATAATTTATGACTTTATTAATTCTAAATTAAAAAATTCATTAACTATATAGCCTACTGTTAATAAAAATCAAGCGGATTAATATTTTTAAAAAAAATCAATTCCTTAACTTTACAACTTACATTTTAATAAATTTTTTTAAAAAAGTTTAGATCGTAAGGATTAATTTTTTTAAATATTAATTTGCTTGATTTTTATTAATAACAATTTATATATTTATAGATATTTTATATTACTATAGTATACGTAATATAAATTTATTTTTTCCCGAAGTATTACGAGGGTTAAAGAGCTAGTAAAAATATATAAAAGCAATTGTACAAAGATATATAGAAGTATTGTATATAAAAATACTTAAAAGTATATACAAAAATATTTAGAGATATATATAAAAATACTTAGAGATACTAAAATAAAAGTATTTAAAAATATATATAAAAGTATTTAGAAGTACTAAAATAAAAATACTTGAAAAAATATGTATAGAGATACTTAGAAGCAGTATATAAAATTCAATGTTTTCAATATTTTTTAAAATTATTAATAAAATTTTAAAAAAATAATTTATTAAAATATATTTTTATATAAAAACAATAAATAGATTTTTTAATATTATATAAATTTAATTTTTTTATATTAAGAATATTAAAAAATTTTTGAAAATATTAAAAACCAGAAAAATATTCTTAGTAAAAATATAAAATTAAATTTAAATTTTACACACTGCTTAGAAGTACTCATATTATATTTTATATTATTTTTTAATTTATTTCTAAACAAATTTGTCTAGAATTTTAAAAAATATTTACAATTTTTTAAATAAAAATTAAAATTATTAATAAGATCATACAAACTTAATAGTTCAGTTTTTATAACTCATCCAAATCAAAACTTACAAATTTTTTAAAAAAAATTTAAGTAAATTTACTATCTAAGTAAGTTTTTTAAAAAAATTTATAAAAAATTTTATATGTTTTTTATATATATAATTTTTTTAAAATAAAATTAAAAGCTAAGTTGTTGGGTTACTTTTAAAAATTTTATATTATAAAAACTGAATTATGAAGTTTGTATAGTTTAATATAAATATATTTTATATATACAATATTTTATTAGAGTTGGAATCTCATAGTCTAGTGGTCTAGACACCCAACTCTTTACAAGTAAATTTTGGGTTTAAGTTCTAGTAGATATATTTAGCTATGAATATTTGAATATACTTATATGTGAGAAATCCAAGTAAGGTGGTATACACAATTTACGTTAAGCCAGTATTGTTATAGGGATTTTAAAGATAATACAAACATAATACTATATGGCATTCCCTATTTTTATATAATACAATATACAATACAATAATAGTTTAACGTAAATTGTGTATGCCACCTAAGTACTTATTTGAAATAGAAATTTCTAGAAAAAGGTCCATTGTAGAGAGATATCACTATGTGTAACAGGTAGATGTTACTGAAGATTCTATTATCTGAAGATTGTGCTTGTAAATTCTCGGTTAGCATAGATAGTATCAACAACTCTAAAATAGCATTAAGAATCTTGATTGGGAGGATAACTAGATGGTAACTAGAATTGGAGTAGTGAAAAAAGTGGTAAAACACAAAAGAACCTGTAATAAAGAATTGGTCTTACCAAATTTGAAACACTTCTGGTATCATATAGAATTCTCTGGCCAATAAAAAGTTGAAACATAGAAGTGTGTACATGTTGATAGATCCAACAGGCTCTGGTCATACCTATATAGAAGTCTTTGAACATTAAGAGGACCTGGAACTACCAATATAGATATAGCTAGTATAAATATATATAGTTAAAACTGAGCTACAACTGTTGAGAATTACAATAAAAAGAAACAATGATATATTTATTATACAAGAAGCCTTATAATGCTATCCAACTATACTGAGTACTAGAAACATATATGAAATATGCCTAGACACCTCATCACTATATTGGGAAGTACAGTCATTAGTATAATTACTGAATTTAATACAGTCAGACCTCCCTAAATGCACATCGCCAGAACCATTTCTAGAGCGTGCATTTAGAGAGGGCTGCAATTAGAGAACACTAATAAAATTGCAATGTTACTATTAGCACGTGATAATGTGGCTTTAGTAGCCTTGAAATAATGAATTTGATTGGCTGGTAATCCCGTGAATGCATTTATGGAGAGAGTTTTTATAAGTGGGCCAGACAGTTAGCGTACACTTACAGAATAAAGAATGTGCATTTATTTATAAGTCTCACCATGGGCCTGGGCTTAATAATGCATTTAGAGGGGTGCTGCATTTAGAGAGGGTGCATTTAGAGAGGTCTGACTGTAAAACCTTAAAATCTTAGTTAACTACCATATATGGTTAATATTGAGTTCATTTGTAACTGCGGGGATTAGACCAATATGAATTTTACCTATCGGGGTTATTTGTTTATATAATAGTTTATAATTATCCTATAATGATGTTAACACTATTTTTAACATTATTTAAAAAAAAATTTTTTTTACTATAAAAAAAAAAGCCATGCGCCAGGTCACTGATCACTGTTCCGTGATATGAAAACCAAGTATATAAATTTGTGCGGCCTAATGCTATTTAGATTGTTTTTTCTTTTTTGTTTGTTTTTTGTATTGTTTTCATTATATTTTTTTTTTTTACTATTTTTCTCTCTTTTTTTAACTGTTTTTTTAAAAAAAATAAAAATACAAAAAGAAAAATAACAATTTTAACAAGGCTAGCAGTTACTATCTAAGAACTTTTAGTATATTTTAGCAAGTTAAAAACTCTAAAAAAATGAAAACGACTAACATGGCAAGTTGTATCTGGGTTTTTAAAAAGTTGAGTAAGTTTTTTTTTTAGTAAATAAAAAGTTATATAGGTGGGCTATATAGTCTAAATATAAAACTAAGATATAAAATTATAGTATACAGTACATTTCTTTGATTTAATAAAGACAGGAATGCCAAGTTTAAAAAAATAAATAAATAAATAAATTTTATTTATTATAATAATATTATATTTAATAGCTTATTAATACAATATATAGCTTTGGGGTGCGGCGACTTAGTGAAGTGGTGGAGTTGTCGCATCCCCAGACGGCAGGTCTAGAGTTCGAATCCCACAGACGACGTTTTCGAAAAATAGCCCTGTGATACGGTTAACGGCTATTCGACGATCGGTAGGATCTAGAAATCTGTAAT